GACAGCTTCTCGACCAAAAATCACTGAGCACTACTTAAATTAGTTTGTAATTTGAACACTTTCGTATTTCTGAAAGCGACCTTGGGATGGCTCGCAGCAAACTCAAAGGTTGTTGACATGAGAACGTAAATATAACTCATGGGTATTGTAGTCACAGGTGATGCTCCACAACACACAATTCTGAGGTTTCAATCCCAGATTAATACGCCAAAACTAATCGAGCCGTCTTGAAACCAATCCCTTTCAAGGAATGTGGGCCCCAAAACCGGACTAGCTGACGTAAACACCCTACGGCGGACGAGTTGGCACGGTTTTGTAGAGGCTGTAGAAGTTGCACCATTTGCACCGGGACGTGCACGTTGCATGAAGGGTAACGGCACGCAAATTTGGTTAGCTCCTACGATTACCATTTCCGAGCAACTTTTGTCGTCCCTTTCTCGTCCAAACCCCAAGTTTACTAATTTTTCTCAGCCTTATATTCTTCTGAGTACGCCGAATTCTTCGCCCTTTTCACAATTCTGGATTATCACTTCCACTAATTCGTCTTGAATTAGATACCCTAGAATTATTGTGAACTGCGCTTCTGAACCACCGAGACGAGTCTGGTACCCACTAACCGATACCACAGGGATGGAAGGATTGGTTAGGTTGTTCGAGTATAGATCCAAAATACAACCCGCTGACTATGGGTGTGATAATGTACTCCACATGCCACCATACCACCTCCTACTGTTCAACCTAGCACTCGAGGAAGTACTTAGAATTTACGTGTCTCCTTAGAAACAGCTATACATACTGCTCTCGAAAGTGGCGTAATATATTGATATTGATATTTTCATCATTTGCAGCTGAAATTGAATTCGGTGTACTCAATTTTGCTGCTGTTTGCATCGTTGTCCATGGATTCTTTTTGATCATATCAGTCATTCAAACTATAATCATTCTCATTTGTTTAATTTTGCTTTTTAACCTAAAGTACTGGTATGAACATATTATTGATAACTAACAAGAAATTTGTTATCAGTAGGTTCAGACCTAGAAAGCTTTTCGGCTCATGTATGGCTCCTACAGTAACTTGAGGCAGAGAAGATGATGCCCAAAGTACCGGTGAACTTCATTTCTACTGATTAGGCTTACCACTGGTTGTTTTATTGGGTAGAAGGCTTAGTGTTACTGAAGAGGACTCTATCTCTCGACTGTAGGAGGACCAATGAAGACATTTGATCGCTACCCTATCTCCGCTACTCAGGTCTGCTTGTCGTGGTCATTGCTTAAAAATGATGGCTCGGGAGGGGCCATGTTCATCACTCCGTGAATCTTGGCAAGGTATACTGATATCTTAGGCTTTATTATGAAGTCTCGTCCGAGTTATTAGAATTTTTAATCGGTTATCGTTTCCACCTTGCCTTCGTCAATGCCTTAAAGCCATGAATACTTCTGGAGGCTTTCAAGCTCTTACGGAGGCGACAAGGCCAAAATATCGGCCGAAGAGAATTCGCGACATCTTAGAAGAGGCTTCGCAACAACCCTATCCCTTCCTAGCCTAATGAGAATAGCCAACGTATAGATTGATTGCTATTATAGCGATGAGCGGTATCATTCATTCCCATTGATTATCTACGAATCAGCGTATGATAAGCGCAACCTTCGAATCAGCTCGTTTGAACTTTTAATCTCCACTGAATAGTTTCGAACTTTTATTGGAACACCCGAAATTCTTGAAAATCGGCTAACCAGTCGGTAGAATTCTTGGAAATCGCTCCTCCGGTATTCTGATATTACTTCGAAATTAGTGTCACCCCGTCCTTAACATCTCCAAGAAACTTCTCAGAACCGGATTTACGTCTCCTTAACTTCTAATTTTGGGATAAGCACAAATCAAGTACAATTACGTTCTAAACAAAGTTCGCCAAGCAGAGTTGGTTCTGTCAACCACCGTACCCCACGTTTTTGCCCGCCTTCGTTCATTTACACCTTTTACGCACGCGTACACACCTTCACACATCATCCAAAAATGCCTCCAACTCATTTGGTTGATGAAGATTTCCT